CAGAGTTATATCAGAGTTACCTCTATGGTTATAACATGTTATATCAGTGCCTTGATGGTGGTTTTTGTGTTGCAATTATTTGACAACCGTTATAACATGTTATAACTCTGTAGTCTGAACGTGGTATTAAGCTGGCTTTCTTCGAATCAGTTGGTATCGAACTTGAGCCATTTCTATGCGAATTTCAGACGGATAACTCTATGGTACCTTTTTTGTACAACGCGATGTCTCAAATGGTTAGAGGGGGAGGTAGCTCATCGATTCTTCCGGTTCGCCTCCTAGCATCGTACTATAAGGTACCAGGCGATAACCAGGGTAGTTGATCGATAGCTCGATGACATCATTTCGTTGGCGTCTGCAATGGGGAATTCTCATAGCAGGCGTTGACGATGGGACGTTGCGAGTTGTTGAATAGCGACTATCGTGGAAAATCAACGATTACCTGTCGATCTGCCAAATTTGGAAAGACGTCTGCATTGAATTGTCTCATATAATAATATTCCGCCCACTATATCACAAGAAATTACGAGTAGCTGAGTGGAATGGAGATAAGTTAAGCATTGGGTACAGGACCAAGTCTCCCCTGGGTGGTGCCAAAAGATGAGCGCAATAGAATCATCAAGTAGCCATAAGGCACGGAATGAGACTATTGCATGGCTGGGTAGTCAAAGTCTTCCATTCGTTAGTCATTTCAGGTGGATTAGAACAGGTTTAGGTGGGCGTTGGCCAGATTTGGATTTTTCAGATGTAATCCTGGATAGGACCCTGTCATTGAACGTCGCGTGAAAGTGGAACTTAATGAAGGCCTAAGTACTTTTTCGTAGTTTTTAGTTTTCGGATTTGAAAGATCGTCGGTTACAGTGGCCTGCTTACTGAGCAGAAAAACGCGGTTCCAGGTCCTTACATATCAAAGAGATTTATGGTAAAATCGCTTGTGTATCGTGTATTTTGCGAAACTCGTTGTTGTCGTTGGTTCCGGGTTTGAATGGATACACAAATTTGAGCAACGGTATTATGTGATATGAGGGGCTCGGTGGCCTTAGAGCAACCGTTTTTACTTACTGAGCAGAACATCATGAGTCTAATCTCAGGCCCATCCACATTCAAGATTCGTCAATCGTTTTATTTGTTAACATGACTACATGGTAATAACAGCAACTCGGTGATTAAAAAGGTGCTCGTCTGCCTAGTGGCAAACGTTTTGCTTACTGAGCAGAAGACCGTGGGTTTAGTCCCAAGCTCCTTCGCGTTATATGATCGTTAGGAAATCAATTCAGCTTATCATTTACCAAAACGAACCCTGCTGCAAACCCAACCCTCTTATCCAACATCCCAGTGATTCCTCGTGGAAGTGCAGAGGTGTTCTCGGCTTCCATCAAAGCGAGTGTCATGTCAACACAATCCTTCCCCTTCCTTTCTTGACCTGTGTTCGGGCGCGGCCGGCGCTGGTATTGCCTAATTTAAGATCACCAGTTTTTACACATTGAGGATGATTGCTAGTCCCAAGCATCGTCTATTGGTTCTCTGTGTAATTACAGCTGATCTGGCAATAACAGAGTAGCAACCGTGGGCGGTCAATCAAGCTCAAGCTCAAGCTCAACGCGATGTCTCAAATGGTTAGAGGCATTATGGAAAGGTTCATTAATATTGATCATCTGAACAATATTGCACAGGTAAATGGCACAGGTTATTGGTCGGCGTATTCAGAACTATTGTTGGTTTTAGAAAATGATTTGCTGCTTATCGCATGGCAACGCCAATGCAGAAAGAGGTTTTTCAGTAAATGCAGAATGTCTTTTTGAAAACATGAGGGAAGAGACAGTCGTTGCGCGACATCAGATCTATGATGGTGTTACTCATCAGGCGGGTTGGAAAACTTACAAATTTTGAATGAACTTATTCAGCGAGTTCGAAATTCGTATTCGCTTTCCATGTAGACATCGTATGAAAGAAGCTCTCGATTCTGACAAAGCGAAATTGTTGAAACGCCAGAGAGAAGCAGAAGCGAAACATCTAGAGAATAAGCGAAGAAAGTTATTGGAAGATGCTCAAAAAAAAAAGGGCGAGAGTTTGCAGGAGAAAATTGTTCTGCTCAAATCATAAGCAGAAAAATCTATCGTCGAAACAAACATATTTGAGGAAAATTTAAACGTTTAAAGTTTGTTCTGCACACTTAGAAAAAATCATGTAAATTTGGGTGCTCTGAGACTGACATATACGAGCGTCAATTTGGACATAAAATTGAGTCATAACAGGCGCAAAATTCAACTCAATCAAACGTACTTTTCATCGAATAACGAAATTTTCAGTCTCGGTGCACTTAATTTTACATAAAAAAATTGTTTACTTCTGATCCTTTATGTCAAAGATGGATTCCGTCACGTGTAAAATTAGTTATTTCTAAGTGTGTGGCCACAAAAATAAAAAAAAGGCTTATTGCAAACGTATTCCATTTTTGAAGTCAATACAATCTATGTAAAAAATAAAAATAATGTTACGTTTATTTTAAAAATATTCGACCCTAAATAAACGTGAAAACATTTTGTTGTCAAAATGAACAAGCATAAATTTGTTAATTTTAAATATTTTTTTTCATTTTTAAAACAAACTAACTATCTTAAACTATTTTAGTATTTGAAAGCGCGAAAAAGAAACAGAAAATGGATAGCATATAAATAGAAGAAAAGTCTGCAGACAGAACATGTAAATTCCCACTATTTTTGGGGTCGATAAAGGGTGGTCTGTGGATGGCGTGGATGATGGTGTTCTAGTCCGGGTTCCAAAAGGCCTGTCGGGGTGAGTGTCGGGGGATTCCAATTCATTGGAATCTGTTATTTCTGAAGTTGATCCTCTTTCAACGTTTGTTGTCGGGAGAAGGGAGAGGATCCGGAATAGATTCAGCATCCATTTCGAATTGTCGTTTTTCTTTCGACGTCTTGGGTATTACGAGTGTTATGGGGATCGGAGCTGGAACATAATTTGGACACTTACCTAGATGGGTTTTCGGATCCATTTACTCGGTTTCACGTTTTCCGAGTCAATTTCTGCCGAGTATAAACAAGGCTGGACACGCTAAAAATCGTTTACCCAAATTCTATATTGTTTAAATAAACATGCTTTTGAATTTAATCCAAAAATAAATATTTTTGTTTCAAACATGTTTCAAATTTACTTTGAATTACTCATATGTTTATATAATGAACATTAATATTTTTGATTTAAATGAACAACATTTGGTTCCGTGATTGTCGCAAAAATCACCGATGAGTTTTCAGGCTCAAAAATTAATTAATTTATATTTTGACGTTATTTATTGTTATTACTATTGTTTGCGCATCAGGGGTTGGAAAACTAACAAAACATGCATAACCATGGTATCAATTGACGTTTGAGTGGTTTTTTTTTATGAGTTTAAAGTTGGAATGATTTTTCGACGTTGTGAGTGTGAGTGCGTAAATATGCATGAGAATCTCAAGCGTGAATTGTGTTTGCCACATTCGCACGCGAGTTTATTCTCGCAATGAATGAGATTTGAGAATGATTTTCCGAACACTGGTAAAGAGAAAGGATCGTCTACGGGTTGATTTTTATATAGTTGTGCCATTATGAACTCAAATTGAGAGAGATGTTCTGTAAAAATTGTATTAGTATCAAGGTGCCATGAGTATGCTATTCTTGATATTTTCGAAAGCTTACTCTGCTGCTCATTTTAAACTTATCGTAATTTGCACTACGTTATAATAAAGCACATCACGTTGTAACTTCTTAGGTTTAAATATCGGAGTTTTGTGGACTGGAATTTTTCTGAAAACCCACTGGAAAGTCAGGGAAAGTCAGGGAATTTTTTTTTCGACTTTGAGTCGACACCCTGTATGTATAATGTAAATCTGTTTGATATACGATGCTCCATTTATGTTGCATCGTAGTAAGATAAATTCACAATACTTTTACGAACTGTGAATGTAAACATTCTTCCCCATCTCCAACCTCACTCACAGAACAGCGACCCCACTTGGAGCGGGCCGCTGAAAATTCCTCACACCACTTTACGATCGCGACTTCCCGAACACGCGCGCGCATACTTACGTTGGTGGAAACAACAAACCTACGTCCAACGTCCGTATACCTCGATATACGACATGGCAGGCAAGGTAGTCAGCACTCAGCTCTCCTCCGCCGCGGATTTTAGCGTTATTCTCCTGTTTTTTTTTTTAAATATTATTTGCCTCCATCCAAACAACGACAACCGACCGACGATGAGTATGCCGGCGTCGCTGGCTGGACGCCATACCGCGCGCGAGACCAACAGCTGGAACTACTCAAGACGCTGATGTCGAACTGGAAACGTGTGGCAGGATTGTAGGGAATTGGATTGTGATTTTTTTTTTGCCTTTAATTGGTGTGACTAGTGAGATTTAGTGAGTTGTGAAACGGTAGTCGGTTGTTTTTTTTTACGTTGGGAAAATCGCGCATTTCGTCCAAATCTACTCTCGCAGTCGAGACTTTTCAGTATCATCTTAACCACGACCGACGGCGCGAATTCGAATCGAATAAAAAAAAAAAAACAGCAAAACAGAGAAACAGGAGGAACAAGAGGTGAGAGGATAAATCGGGGGGTGAGGGGAGATCGCGCTTTAGCGCGCGAAGGAACAGCTAAAGAAAGTGTTGTGTTTTCATGTTTTGGGTGTGTTGAAATCTCTCTTTCACTTTGGCTGTTGCTGATGCTCTGTTGTTGGCATTTGCAAAAGTCACGCTCCGTTGACTGCTCTGTAATAATGCGATTCCGATCTGTTACTGCAGCAGCTGCGATTGATCTTGGCGTCGCGGAAAGAGGAGGGATTGCAAAATTGGCTGATTGGTTGGAGGCTGGCCACTGGGAGTTGGGACGATTTTGCGATCATTTCTCTCGCGGGCCGCCATCGATCCAGATGCAGAAAACCTCTAGAGTGTGTATTAGATTTTGCACGGTGAATTAATTTCTAATTTTTCTCTAATTTTAGATTACGATTCGACGAGATCGGGCATGATCTGTTTACGGATTCCGATAGTCTGTCGTACGCGTCGCTGAGTCGATCGTCGTCGCTGATCCAGTTCGAATCGTTAGAGCGCCAGTTGCAGAATGAATCGGTGGCCGTAGCGTCCGCTCCGTTGTCCGGATCGTCACCCTCGTTGTACGCCAGCAGTGCAGGCTTGATATCTGAAGGAGGTGGAGGCGCCGCCGTCGGTGAAGGTCTCAGAAGTGCGATCGTGGGCGGTGATACGGTTGGGTTCTACAGCAGCCCCAGCAAGAAAGGCAACCTACTTACGGCAACTAATCTGATTCAGCAGCAGGGTAAGCTCGGAGGGGTCGTCGGAGGAGGAGGTACACAACAACCGGTGCTTAATACGAGCGATTCTGAACTATACTCGTCGTCGAGTGTGAGCAGTGCTGGTAGCAGTGGCGACGGAAGCAGTTGCAACTATGCCAGTGACGAGTGTGATCTGAACAATCACGACAATACGCCAAGTCCCAGTGAGTCGCAGGTGGCGAAAAGTTCCTCGGATGAGGCGGACGGATTGGTCCGGTGTCCGCAGCGGTGCTCTGAAAGGCGTCGGTCGTTGAATCAGCTCCGGACGAAGAATTCGATCGAAAGTTTGAGTGAAGACAGTGGCTATTGCGATCATTTGCATTTCAATATGAACAATCTACGGGTCAAGTCGAAGAGCTGGACCAATTTCGGTTCAGCCGAAAATGTAAACATGTTTATGGATCCGCCGGTGCAGATGGACTTTTACGACCAGCAGCAGCGGCATGCTTCCTTCCACCAGGAAAACCGCCTTTCGACGGTGTGCGATGTGGACGAGGAGGAGCACGAGGAGCAGCAGGGCGGTGGAGGAGCGCAGGGAGCGCCAAAAGGCCAAGAAGTTCATCGCATACAACAGTGCAACAGCGAGGAAAGTCTATCCAATAAGTACGAACGTAACAAGCCAGAACATTGGTTCACTGCGAGCGCCGCCGCCGATGCCGCGAAAACTAATATTCATAATTGTACAAAAATAGATTTAGACGCAAGTAAACATTCGCGCTCGACGGGTGCTGCAGAGCTGCCGTTCGTCGTAACGACTAAAGTGATTCCCCCGTCATCCTCATCGTCGTCGTCGTCGTCGTCGTCAGCATCTTCATCCTCGTCCCGGCACAATTCTACAGATTCACTTGAACCGACGACGACAACAATTCTGGATCGTCACCATCGTGCCGAAGCGAAACCTAAAAATAGTCATCATCGCCGCCAACAGCAGCAGCACCAACAGAGAGATGACATAGAGCACCAGCTTGCCGTCTCACGAAAGCGACCGCGACCGCAGCAGCAGTACCGGCGTCGTAGAACCATCATTTCGGCCAGTTCACCCGATCTGTTCAACAGTGATCAGCAGCGTTTTCGCGCTCGTAGCCGGAAGCAAAGTCAGCGCAAGGTTAGCGACTTCCTGGAGTACGGAGGTGTCAATTTTACCGTGTCCAGTGTGCCAGAGTGCTTGAATCTGTGCGGGAGTGTTCGGCTTCCGGAGTTGGGCAGCCAGTCGGAATCGTGCGATTCGTTCGAACTGTGTGAATCGGGTGCCAGTTCCGAGAATTACTGCTCGTGGAATCAGGGACAGGAATCGGTAGCGAGTAAGAACTTTAATTTGTACGATTTTCGAGAAGAACCGGAGGTCATTCCGACGACGGTGGTGAAAAGTGTGAAAACGGTGACGTTCGAACCGGTGGCTAGGCCTCGGGTGAACATTCGGGCTAGTTACGCTAACCTGACGGCGCTGGACTATGGTGATGCGGAGACAGACGGCAAGCAGTATTATTTGAATAGAAACACATTCAGGACGAGCAGTGGAACGAGACTTGGGGGACAAGGTGCGCGGGAAATGGCCACTGGATCGTGGGACCAGAAGAAGATCTTCGACGAAGACGACGAAGAGGAGAGGATCTTTCCGGTCGGTGGCGACGAAAGGGGTGTTTTCAATTCGCTTCTATCGATCATCAACGATCAAGCCGATGCATACGAACCGATCGCGGCGTTTTTGCACGAACAACGATCGGCAGCGGTGGTGCAGCCAACGTCGTTTACCGCGCTGGTCACGTCCCCTCCACAACCTCCGCCACGACGAACGCAAATCAAAACAAACCCGCACCACTCAACAGCTCCGGCCAACGTGCGATCCCCGCCTCCGCCACTGGAAGGCCAGAACGGTGGCAGCAGACGGACCTTCGATCAGGATCCCACCAATCTGGTCACCTGCTACGCTGCAAGCTTAGAACGTTGCACGTTCGATCCGACTGAATCCACCCTCAACTTATATAATGGCGAAGGCAGCAGCAGCGCAATCAACCGAACAAGTGATTTGAATATTAATCATTCAAGTGCGACCCGGTGCTACGCCCCGGTGGTGGTAGCAAAGCGTGAATTTGTATCGAGCACGCCCAACCTCAACTACTACCACGGCAGCAGCGACGATGAAGGTGGCCTGAACGCCCACCACAACTCACTGAAGAATGTGTCCTGTCTTGATATTGGCACAACCGGAGACCTCGTCTCCCAGAGCACTGGCATTCTAACGACCGCCTCCAGCTCCAAGTGCGGGCTGTCCAAGGGCGTCAGCTTCTGCCCGATCGTGTCGGAAATCATCTGGAAGGACAACAGCTCCGATCTTGATCCGGACGACAACGCCAGCATCATCTCCAATCAGGACTTCGAGATCGACATCGATGACGAAGACTTCGATCAGGACGATTACGATCATGCCAATCTGATTGCCACCCAAACAAACACACTGATCAATGCAAACAGCGTGGAGACGGGGCTGTGTGAGCTCATAAATAAAGCTGATTCATCATTGGGCAATTATCATCGGAATGGCGACGAGGATGATCAATATCATAAGCAGCAGCAACAACAACAGCAGCTGGATGCACTCGATTCATTGCTTCGGGCAGCGTCGCCCAACGACGCCGAACACGATCGCTTCGTGCACGATGACGTCATCGATTACGATTCTCTCTCACGGAGAGAGCGAAGTGAAGAAGAGCGAGACGGCGATAGGTGCATCGGCGGCGGCGGCGTCGTTGCCGTCGGTGGTGGTGTAAACAATGCGATCGCTGTCAGCGACGTCAGTACGAAAGTGATCATCGCCGAGAAAGGTTCTCTCCCGACAATGGCGTCCGCGATCGCGAATGGTGTCGACGCTAGCAGAAACATGATCGCCTCAGAATCATCATCTGCCAATGCGGAAAGTGTGTCCGTTCCGGCCGAGTTGACCGACGATAATCGGCAACCACCACAGCAGCAGCAGCAGAAGTTTGTCAACAATAATAACAATCTAATTAAGAACTTCAAGAATGGAAAGGCGGAGAAGAAGGGAAAGACTTTCCTGTCGCGTTTGTCGTCCGGTTTTCGTTTCTCGTTCCGTGGTAAATCGAAGAAAAACAAAGATGGTGGTGTCGTCGGTGGGTCATCGAATGGAAAGATTGGCAGCACTGCCACTGGCCCGCCTGTAAATGATAAACAATCGTCGAAAGTGAAGGACTCTAGCAACGGCAACGATAAGGTTGTGTCGTCGGATTTTATTTACATCCCCTTGAAGGATCCGTTTTCGAAGCAGGTAAACGGAGTCGATAATGTTGTCAGTGATCCCGCCGGTGAGGAGGAAGTACTCGACGCGGAAGAGTACTACTTGCGGCAGATTGGCAGCCACGGTCAGGATCAAACCGATCGGGTTTACACCAGTCCGAACGAAAGCGATGTCACATTCCGGTCGGATTCGTCGTCGATAATAAACTTGACCCCGACTGGTAGCACTGCTAGCGGTGGTCCACGAAACCACGTGTTGAGCGGAAAACCACCCCTGCCGAAGCAACCCCCACGGGTTGTTGGTGTGTGTGCGAAGCGTTCTACCCCGACCGGAAGGTACGCGCATGCCCACCGTGCCTCGTCGACTCCGCCGAGAACGGAAATCGATCCAGACGAGAGCCACGGCAGCGGTGGCGGTGCCTTTTGCCATCAGTATACCAACGACACTGATACGGGCTCGAACAGTGGTAGTGCTGCCGAAGGATCGTTGTCCTCGGCCGTCGGTCGGTACAGCAGTGCTAGAACAGACCAAAACCAGAAGCATCAGCTAACCGTTGAGAACTCTAATTACTTCAATCACATTATGGGTAGTGAGCAGAAAATCGGTCTCATCGAGACTAACCTGGATACCCACGAGACAGTCATTTCGGGCAAGACTCGTTCGCTGATGGAGCTCGGCGGCCCGTCCCAGCACATGCACCAACTGCAGGTGCATCATGGCGGAGGTGGTGGCCCAATGGGCGGTGGCGGTGGTAGTGGGGTACCTAAAGGTCGGTTGGGTGGCGGCGTTAATGGGATTAAAGACCGCCAGACGACAGCCGTTGCCAATGAACCCGGAAGGCCACACAAAAGTATGGAGTTTCTGCTGGACAAGGAAAATCAACGAAATGTTTTGGTAAGTACCCAATTGCGCTCTCTCTCTATCTATCTCCCTGCATCATCAACGGGCGACGTTTACCGTTAGCACCTACTTTTCGCTTTTGTGTCTATCAAATGGGTATGTCTATACACATACGGCTAGCTGTTTTTTACGACCGGAATTGATTAGTTCCACCGGACTAACCCGGCAGTTTTTCGCACTTGACTTGCACATGAAAACAAAAAAACCAGACCCTCAACTTGAACAACAACCATTCCACTTGATTCGATAGTTTCGGTTCAGTTATGTTGTACGTTTTTCCAGAAAGCATAACAGTTCATCGGAAAAGTGAACAAGTGCCCTCTTCAGTTGGACCGCAAAGCAAAGAACCTAACACACAATCCAAACCAAGTCCAGCATTAATTAAAATTTCAACTCGTCGTCGTCGTCGTCGTCGTCGTCGTTTGTCGTCGGATCGGGGGGACAGGGGGACTCTTGAGCTGGTGCGTGCTAAAGGGCCGCCGCCGCACCCCGAAGGTTAAGTGGATGGATCAAAAGTGGCCGGCGCTCTTCGACAACTGCAGCATTAAAGCTTAATCAGGCTCAATTAGATGCCAAGTGCCAAGATCGGTTTCAGCAGCATCCGAGATGCTGGAATTCGGTGAGATGTGGGAAATGTGTCAGGAAAAAAAAAACTCAGAAGAAGTCAGTGCCAGTGTCGTTCGTTTGGGAATGCAGTGAACTAGAACGAAGACAACAGAAAACGGGTTGATGGAAATGGAAGGGGAAGGAAGGAAACAGGTTGAGAGGGTGAAACCAAAACAAAGCCAGACAATGCGAAGCGTTTGGAATTTGTCTATTAGGAAGAATATCATCGAGAAAAAAAAATGAAGAAATTGAGTGAAGCGACCGAGAAAAGCCACAGAGGTCCTTGAAGGAAGGGAAGATTGTTTGGTACGTCTTTTGTTACGGTGATGGCCGGAAAGTGGAATTGAAGAAGATAAATAATCGAATACGAATCCGATCCTTTTGTGTGCGTGCTGTGTCTGTCTGTGCTGGTACAAGAGTTATCGTCGGTGTTGCGTGTGGGAAAGTGAAGGTCCTTTTCGTGGATAAGGTGAAAGAAGAAGATGACGAAGAAAAAAAAGAAGGAAGAAACAACCTGAGCAAGATGAACGAGGGTCGTTTGGGCAGACGAGGATTTTGTTTATGATTTGGGCTTGGTTTTGGATTGAATGCGGACGAGTAGGTGCTAACGAAGGTCGGTCTGTGTTTGACGTAAAGGAAGTTTACACTTGCACTGACTTAAATTATCATCGATGACATTGAGCAGTTGGACCATAATTCAAGATCTACAATCGAAAAGGCCTTATCAGGCTTTTGTAGGCCTGTTCTCGTGAATCGGAGCTCACCTATCCATCAGGTAGGGAAAAGTTTCCACTATCCGGTAGTGTTGTTTGGTATGGGTAGACGAGCTCCGATTCACGAGAAAAGACCGCAAGAAGTTTTGTTTCCAAAAAAAGGCCTTTGAAAAACTGATTAGAGGTCATACATAAATTACGTCACGCATCTAGGGGGAGGTGGTTCGAAAAAAAAACGTAATTGGATTAAACAATATTTTTCTCATTCAGCAATACAAACATTTCTAGACTAACATTTGAAAAGGACGGAATTCCAAAATTACCATATGGAGAAAATCGCTTCCGAATTTTGATGACCTAAAAATTAATCCTATTTCACGTCTTCCCATTTTCTGGATGATTCTATTAGCTTGAAATATAGTTAATAGTGTTATCTTACATGCATCACTAAAAACAAAACAAAAAGTTTTTCTACCGTGAAATTGAGAAGACAATCTCATACGCCCTGATATTTTTTTACATGTTCTTACCCCCTGGATCTTCCACTCTTTGACCTGCCAACACTGGTGATACGCCGAGGAAATACACCCTGGGGGATTTTTTGTTTGATGTTCCGCCATTGTTCTTCTTTTACAAATTTAGCGATTTAGGAATTACGCCCGGAGATTTTTTTTGGCCTTCTTTTTGTTCGTTGTTTATACGGGAAATATCAATCGGATGCATTTCAAATGAATCGGGCGTTACAAGATACTACATAATCAGTTTTGCATATTAAAACAATATAATTCGTAGTTTTGGTGCAAGGCGTAACAACCAGATGCATCATAGAGTTGAAAATCATATAGGGTCGAGAAAAATTCCTTGGATTTGTTTTGGAGAGATTTTTTTCACTTAACGCAAATAAATTCTGGCAATCATAACGAATTTTTGTTCGAAAATCGTTTGATCGATAATGTTGATGGTACAGAAATGTCACTAGAATTGTCACTAAGGGAACATGCATAAATGGCGTAGCATTTGAGGGAGGAGGGGGTTTCAGAATTTGTGACCTATGTATTAGGTATAGCAAAATACGCTACGAGTAGGGAGAGGGTGTCTAATACCCCGTACAGACTATGGCTTATATCATGTCATATAGGCTGTCTTGCAATGAGCACTCATACATAGGATTTCCAGTGAAAACCAAGGTTGCAAATACTCATTTCAGCTAAATAATGTTTTTCGGAATAATAAAATCAAAAGATGGTATGATGGCATGTTTTACTTGTCACTTACAAGAAGAGGTTACAAAGTATGCGTTTGAAACATAAAACCTGTAAATTTTGCTTTCTATGAGTCAAAATCAGCGATTTGCTGATCGCTGAGTGAGTGAGTGAGTGAGTGTGTGAAAAATCGCTGATTGTGACTATCATGAAGTGAAATAAACAGGTTTAATATGTCAAACACATTCTTTACAACCTCTTCTTGTATCCTACCAATTCAAAATATGATCATGGCATCTAATTATTTCAAAATTAAAAAAAAAACATTGTTTTAGCTGAAATGAGTATTTGCAACCTTGGTGAAAACTAGATGTATGAGTGCTCATTGCAAGACAGCCTATATGACATGATATAAGCCATAGTCTGTACGGGGTATAAAACTGGTCAATATTATACTACATCTTTTATGAATGATCCCTAATAAGCTGAACTACCACCGACGAACTGACATGATACAGGAACACAGACTTAAATTGGCATGAATCAGGTGTTTTTTTAGAGTGCGTTAGGTGAGGTAAAATACCACAAAATAATTCCAAAAAAATGTCCCACATTTCCCATTCCAATATCGAATTATGCAAATGCATATCAAAACAATACCGCACATGTATTCTTTTGGTGTCCAAATATCAATTTTTGTTGTTTATAAATTGATTTACTTGTCTTTTTTTGGTATTATTCTTTGGCATTTTAAAGCTTGAGTCATTTAATATCTGCACGCAAAAAACGGATGTAACCGAAATTTTGAGTACTCAAAATGAAGGTCATTTATTGCACTTTAAAGGAAAAATGGTGAAAAAGAAATATTCCGATTTATTGAACTTTGCATCGAATACCACTCATCATATTTTGGACACTCTGTTGGCTAACCTGAGCAGCCGTTTTGTTCCACCATCTCTTCATCTCTGTCTCATCCCGAGTCACATTTCCACTCTTCTGCAACTTCTGTTTGACAGATGCCCAATATTTCTCAATTGGGTGGAATTGAGGGCAGTTGGGTGGATTGATGTCCTTTTCGAAGAAATCTACCCCGTTGTCTCGATACCACTGCAGAACTTCTCCGCTGTAAGGGCAGCTTGCCAAATCAGGCCAAAACTTTACAGGTACGGAAGAATTCGTTTTTTCAGGCACTCCTGCTTGTAAATTTTGGAATCCATAGTCTTGTTTGTCACGAAAACCTGGGTTTTTTTTTTGGCCGCAGCTGCAAATACCTTGCCAGATCACGAGATTTCTTGCAAATTTATCGGTAACAATGAATTTGAACTTGCTAGGGACATCACTTCGACCAGTGGCTATATAGAACTTTTGTTCGGGATGCTGCCTGTCGTGACCGGACCGAGGTTTCCAACCTCGGCCACGGCTACACGAATTAATGGTGTAGCTCCCATAAATGGATATGGGATATTTATTTATCTAAAGTTAGCTTGTTTGACTAGAAATTGAATCCTTGAAATTTCCCTATTCGTCTACAGGGTGTTGTGTGTTGTCCGTTGTCTTGTGTTACGTATTCAGTCTATTTTACAACCTCTGGTTGAAGACGGTGTCAATTGTCTTTCTAGAATCATTCCATTGAAGAACTAGCTATGCGAAAATCGCGAATGAAATAAGAATAAAGAATAAAATTTCCCGAACGAGATGTGCGAAACAGTTCAGCAAACGATTCCGAAAGAGAATTCCGATTTCGCTCTCTCAACCTATTTCACAAAAAATCGAGAAACGAGCTAGCTGCACGGCGAATGAGAACGACCCAAATTTGAGTTTAGTTCACTCATAATCGCCAAAAGTGCAGGAACTCAACGATGAGTAAAATTTGTCTCAAAATGAGGAAATCTGCCGGAAAATGAGGAAATTGACGAAAATTTTATTCAGTCTCGGAGTAGTACCAATAGACTGAGTGAATCCAATCTTTACTTTTCTCAAATTCGGGAATTTTTCCCTGGAAAATCCTGGAAAAACCTGGGAAAACATGAGGTAAATTTACTCATCGCTGAGTTCTGCACTTTTGGCGATTATGAGTGAACTAAACTCAAATTTGGGTCGTTCTCATTCGCCGTGTGAGGTTCTTGTCTCCTATGTCATATTTCTTCGCGGATGTTTTCTTTTTCTAGATTAGGAGTTATGCTTTTGCATGATGATATTTAGGTTGCATACATGTAGGAGCTACCCGTGCATTATAATTCAAGAGCAAATTTTCATTATGTCGTAAGTAACATTCGCACCGATCCGAGAAAAATAAAGTTTTGTTTTGATGACCGAAAAGTTATTCCTATTTCCAATCAAACACATATAATCTCATGATAGCATAAATCCTTCAACAAGGATCCAGTGGAGGGCAAGTCTGGTGCCAGCAGCCGCGGTAATTCCAGCTCCACTAGCGTATATTAAAATTGTTGCGGTTAAAACGTTCGAAGTT